GACAAACTATCAAAAGCTAATAGTAGGTGCAGTTGTTGAAGGCTAAAATAATTATTTAGTTCTACAAAAACACAACACACTTGTTTGAATCTTCACAAAAAAGTAGAAATTTTATTATAATAATTTGCCTACCTTAACATTTTGTTCAGTGTACTACCACAAGGGGCGTGCTTCCTTTGCACACGTGTGATGAGACGTACAACTCCCCAAACAGCAAGACAAATAAATGATTAGTTTTGGTTTAAACTTTTTGTGATTAGACTACTAAGAGGAAAACTGGAAAATCTACAGTCTTTTACATTTTATGTTACTTAAAAGAAACACCATCTTGATGGTTTCTTTTATTCTCCATTTTTCAGATTGAATCTAATGATTTAATGAACAATTAAACAGCATGCAACACTACATGGATGTTAAGTATATAATTAATGCATGACAAAAGATAAAACCACTAAAACTTAATTTGATTTATTTCGTGTAGATAATAGAGAAGGAGGGTTATGAAAAACAAAACGGCTGGTTCTGGAATACTAAGTATTTATGTGTGACTGACAAGAAGGTGCGTGTATTGGAGGCATGGTCCTGCTCTTGAACCCCTTATATGAATCCACATAAAAAGTGAAGTATTTAGGCATTTCGATCATTCTTTTTTCATGCAGTAATCATTGGGACTATTTTAAGTTCCAGATGAACTGTACAGAAGTGAAAACATCCACTGGCGATTCATGCGGGAATAGAAGGGGAAGTTAAGGAAGTCTTTCCTCAGACACCCCATGCTTTGTGCTGCAGCATTTCCATAAACAGATTCATCATCTCTAATATTTCTTAAAGGAGAATCAGTGATATAGTGTGTAACATTACTATATAAATTACAAATGAGTACCACTCTCTGGTTGTGTCATTTCAGTTGTGCTATTAAGAGACAGAGAGTAGCAAAGACTAAAGACTGTTGTATGTGTTGCTCAGTGTGTATCGTGTTGTGAGAAGCACCAAAGTAGAATGGAGTGAATCTTGATTCTTGCACCCCTAGGGGGAAACAGAAAGGGTGACACTGAGGGCAGGCAGTTCTCCTGATGTAATCAAAAACTGAATGATGAACCATGATAGTGCCCTCCAGCAACAATGATAAAAGAGGGATCAAAACCATAGTGGTTTCTAGACTTACAAGAACAATGAGTTCAACCAGACTGTAGTATTTATGCTCTTCAACAATATGACCGGTTTTGTCTAGGACTTCAATCTAGCCTTCTCCCTGTTTACTCTACCTTTGTCGATCAGGACTCTGAACCTTTTTTCTTGTCTCTTGTTTCCTGGTTGGTTGTCTGTCCCAATCTCTTTTGTTCGCCAAGATCTGCCTCTATGCTGCTGAACTGTTTTCCCCTCTTGGACCATGACTAAGCCTGCTCCCCCTCCAGGTTTGTCAATTTACCAGTGTTGCTCAGTAAACTCTGACAACTTGTTACCCGAGACTCTGATGTTCCATCTCTTTGGAGCTTTGCTCCTGTATTTTCATTGTCCACCAGTATATGGAGAGTTTTTACCAAAGACTGTGTAATACTGACCTTTACCTGTGTTACTGTTCATCTACCTGTAAAGTGCAGCCATACTTATCACTGTTACCAGTCACCTGCCTGTGAATTTCTACTATACTTACCTTACCCTCTGCGCCAAGCCAGTAAACAAAACCTGTTGGTCAACCTGTTGACCAAAATAGATAATTACTTACCTGTGAGAGTCTACACCTGTGTTCCAGTCTTCACCGTTATTCTTCAAGCCATCTTGTCATTGTCTGCCATTCTACCAATCTGCCAGTGAGTAATGCTGGATTTTCTCATGGCTGACGTTCTTCAGTTATTTTCGCTGTTCAACCCCCACCTGAGTTGTTGAATACAACTTCTCGCAGTTACTGGCCAGACTATAGATATCAACAGCCAAAACCATGATCAGCTGGTTTCTCACTGGCTACAAGCAAATATTCAAAGAGAGCACAGTTTTTCACCCCAGCAAAGCGTGGGCGTCTGCTGGAGTGCTATGAGGAATTTAAAGATTTCAATCATACGCAAGGTAAATCTGCAAAAGGGAAAAACTGCAGAGAGATGTGAAAGGTGGATAACAGATTAAATATATAAGTAACCTGTCCCACTTACACCCTTGATTTCGCTGCCATTACATGTCCACTGCTTTGATATGATAGCACAGTTTGTCTTTGCTAAGTTCTCATACAGTACAGTGTGATTATAACACATTTTTTTGCTACTATATTACTGTACCTACATATTTTTGTAAAAACTGTACATTTACTGTAATATCCTGTGCTTGCAAAAGTTGAGGAATTGTTTCAGTCCTAATTTTTCCACATTATCAACCATCCAAATGGCTCCTTCCAAGAAATCTCAGTGCAGTGCACGCTTATTATTGGGTCCTAAAGACATGGGTCCTCTTTGTCAGGCACCTAATATGAAGCACTAACAGTCCACTTAAATAAATTATTCCCTCCTGACTGAAATGCTCATTAAGAGAGGGTCAGGATGGGCCAAAAGAGGACTATGGATGTCTCAGTGCTCTTTATTCTAAACAAGGTCTTGTCTTTGTCAATGGGCCACTTGCATAAGAACATTACATTCACAGTTGGATGGACCTTCTGTTCCAACCCTGTTGAAATATGAGAGGTTACACTGATTGCGGTGAATAAACCTGAGAACAAAACTGCTCCCGAGTAGGTTTGAGTTTATGGACATGTTGCCATAACAACAAGTCCTATGAGACTAAGAACCTGCAGCTCTTCGGATCATGTGTGCCATCAACAAAATGATTCACCCTGTTAATCCATGTACAAAGAATACCCCCCTGGTGGTCATTAAATCAATGTTTTACTTACGTCTTTCCCTTGATGCTCTGCATCAGAGTCCACACAGGTCATATGGATCTGTACCAGGAAAACAGACACATAAATCCAGCCGTAATATCTCAGACAAGTCAGTTTTATGCTCCCTGCTCTCACAATTTGAGCATATATCCTTAAATATGAGACACAAGACCAGATTTCTTTAGCTGATAATAAAACATGATTGTTTTCTCTTTTAGTCATAAAAAAAGAAAAACTGCAACAACAACTTCCATAACAACTTTGCTCAGTGTTTGCCAGGGGCAAATAAAATCCAAGTGTCCTAGGAGATAGTGTAGTCTATTAAGCTGTGTCATCAAGTACAGTACATCTCATCCATCAGCTGCTTCCTAAAGGGTCAAAATACCCTCTCTACTCATGTTGTTGCATCACAGAAAAAACAAGGAAATTAAAAAATAGGAAACTTCTAAGCTGCAAACAGGAATTTATGTGGTTGCCTAAACACGCAAAGCCAAAGCAACTGTGATGGTACTGAATGAATGTTCAGGGTAAGAGGTATAAAATATAATAATCCTCTTTGCAATTGCACTCCAAAAAATCTGGGCGTTTACTTAAAGAAATGCTTTGACATTTGGGGATATGCTTGTTCATTCTCATGCTGACAGCTAGAGAAGAAGACCAACAGTATACAGGGGAACTGCTAGCCTGACTTTGTCCAACAGTAACAAATTCAACACTTCTAGTAACATAACCCATATAACCCCATAAAACTCTACAGTATCTTCCTGTTTGTACTCCGTGGCCTTTACTCAGATGAAAACAAATAAGATATAATGTGTTAAATAATAAGTTTTAGAGGTTCTACAAGGTGAACTTTCTTTGGTATTTATCCATTTTTCTCCTTCTCCAGTGTTTATGGTAAGATAAGGTCTACTGGCTTTGGCTTCAAATTTATGGTGCAGATATTGTATCTATTTTTTTAAATCAAATTCTCTGAAAGAAGTTATTTCCAAACTGTTAAACATTAACCAATACTTTTAAAGCCAATTCATTCATCTGTTCATTAGCTTTACTGCTTATTTGGTAGAGAACCGATCCCGGCTGAGACTCGGCAATAGGCGGGGTACCCCGTGACAGACAAGTTGGCAGTTTATCGACCACTACCATCTACAGCCAATTTAGAGTCACCAATCAACCTAACCTGCATGTCTTTGCACTGTGGGAGGAAGCCGGAGTACCCTGAGAAAACCCATGTGAGTGCGGGGGAGAAAATGCAGCCTCCACACAGAAAGGCCCTGGTGACTCCTTTAGACAAGTCTAGGTTTCATTTAGATCTTACATGCAGATTTGAATCATCTTTATACAGTAAAATCCATCACACTTATGGTAGGGATGAAGTAGGGATGAAGACTATTTATTCCTTCCCCCCACTGTCCAAAGACATGCAACATAGGTTGATTGGTGTCTCTACATTGCCCGTAGGAGTGATTGTGTGTGTGAGTGGTTGTTAGTCTGCGTGTTAGCCCTGCGATGGACTGGCGACCTGTCCAGGGTGTACCCCGCCTCTCACCCGCAGCCGGCTGGGATTGGCTCCAGCCCCCCGTAACCCCATTTGGGACTAAGCAGTATAGAAAATGGATGGATGGATGGTCCACTGAGAGGCCCGTACCCTTCTTCAGGAACACCCTGAAGACATTCACACAGTTGCACATTCACATCTGGAAGCTGCCCAGTACAACCACAGTCTGACCTGATGGCCACTGAGCAGTTTGAGATAAGGTTTTAGCTGAAGGGCACCACAGTGATGCTGATGAGGGCAGGGCAGGTGTTCGGGAAGCAGAAAGATGTGCATGTGTTTTACATGCTAATTCCCACAAATATTCCATCATAAAACCTCAATTTCTTGTCTAGATCTGAATAAACAAAGAGGTTTGTGATTTTACTTACTTACAAAGGAGTCATGCATTTGCCATAGAACAAGTCCACTGCAGCAGTGCTCAGAATTACTTACTGTACCACTATACGGCGTTACCCAGCTGCGGACCAATCCTTGGAATAAGACTGCAAAAATAATGACAAGCTATTTATGTGTGTATGTGTATACCACCAGGAAACAATACTATTCATGTGGCACTTCACAGCATCTCATAACTTCCTTTATTGGATGTCTTTTGTACTTTTTTTGTTCAACATACATTTCATGAGAAGTCAAGTAGAGGGGCAGTGAAGCATGCATCATGTTTCCATTGCAGGCATATAATCACAGTTAATGTGTTAAGAAAACCTATGTACAGCAAATAACAAAAATTCATAATAATAGTTTTAATTTTCAATTTAAAAAATTGCAAATATGTGAATATTGGCATCATCACATTATGCAGTAAGCAAACTATCTCTTGTATTTAGCACACATTCCAATTAGTGATAGGTTTTAAGATCAAGAGCTCACGTATCAATTTGAACACTGCATTGAACACTGACTTGATATCTGTAAGATACGCAGAAAATGTCCATCATTGAAACATAAAGTACACACACAATAAATAGCAGTTTGCAACCTGCATGTGTGTGGTATACACAGATGGCTCCGTACATGACAAGCACAACAAGTTTTAGAGAACAATGTTACATTTTTCTTTTCTCCAAGAAACAGGTCATTGTTAGAGACATTTCTGGTTTTACATTCAACCATGTGGGGACAGGACTCTGCGAACACTTCACATATAGAGCCAACATGTCTTTCAGTCACTCAGCTCCACAACTTAAAAAAGCTGATTCCGATTTCCCCCCTGTGCTCCGGTTTCCTTAACAGTCATGAGGTATTTGCCAGAAGAGATGCTTTTATTCATCACTCCTTCCTCAGTCATCCAAGTGATGTTGCCGTTTAGCAGTGCAAGATCTTAATGAATGCCTTTCTGAACTCGACATTAAAAGTAGTGTATATGATGGGATTTACTGCACTATTCACGTAACCCAGCCAAGTGAAAGCATTATACACCTCAGCGGGAACCTTGCATTTTGTGCAGTGGGTGTTCAAGATATGTGTAATGAAAAACGGCAGCCAACATATGATGAATACACCTGAGGAAAAAAGTGGAAATATTAGAAAGAGACAAAGAGGGTGAGGAAAGTGAAGAAGAAGGCAGCACTTATGTAAGACACCCAAATATTGCTGGCTTACGGAGGAGCTGGATTCTAAATTACCAGCATCAGAACAATTTCCTTTCATTGCATCACTCCCACACTTGTCAAGCCCTGTTGTAGGTCTTACCAAAAGGTTGGGGTGGAAATTTAAAAAATTGTATCGGTTCCACTTTGTTCATGTGTATACTCACATAAAACACTTCCGCACTCAATTTAACGTTTATGTGAAAGTAAATTATTTACACCAAATGGCAAATTTAACCAAAAATCTTAAGTAAGTGAACCAACTCACCAAGGACGATGGCTAACATCTGAGTAGCTTTCTTCTCCTTCTGCTGGGAGATCTTCCTCTTGCTCATGGTTTTTACATAGCTCTGAGTCTTGCCATTAGGTAAGGCCTGAGTCTGGAAGGCTTTGGCCATAACAGGTGCGGGATCCCCCAGGGCCTCCTTTGTTGGGTCTCCGTTCTTTTCTGCTTTCTGACCCTCAGGGGGCGTAGGAGGTGCAGAGGTGGGGCTAGCATTGGCCTTGTTGGGCATCAGTAACTGGCGGCTCGTGGCTGGAGTGTCTCCGAGAGCACACTGTGGCTCCTGCTTTTGTTTCTGGCTGGTGCCACTGTTGTTCATCTCATCCAGCTCCAGATCCTGCCCTTCATTGACTACATCTTTGATAAAAATCTGAGCAAGGTGAGCAAAAATAAAAGAAGCAAAAACATGTAGGTTTATTAGGTTATTGTAGAATGGGGCACAATACAAGTAAATAGATATATTTTCAGGCTTTTCTGTGTTTAATTTAGGTTTACAGAAGCAGAAAAGTGCCTTTTCAAGCTATAATTTCTCTGAGAAATGAAAAATAAAACTTATAGGTGACACATAGCAAAACCTTTTACCGGAAAAACAAACAGTAATTATTAGAAAAAAGACCTCTTAACAATAAATAAATAAATAAATAAGCACACACCACTTTCTTCTTGTTGACAGGAAAGCTCCCATTAGATTTAACAATCATGGTGCACAAGCGCACATCCTCGGGATGAGTGCACTTGTCCTGAAATGAAAACAGCTGTGTCAAGCGAGGAGAGGGTACAGTGTTAAAGAAATGGAAAAGGGCTGTCTAAGCACAGGTCACGAGGCTACATCGAGCTTTGGTACAGAAAGGCTGTTTGACATGAATCTGATCTGCAGCCTCAACTACAAAGCTGTATATCTATTAACCAGCTGTAAATCCACAATAAAACTGTTAAAAATGAACCAATGAATGATTAATGATTATGCACATAATCTATCAATATGCTGTCATACAGTATAATCACTTCACAGATCATTAAAGTAGCAACATGTAGTCTACATTTCCATGTGGGTTATAAATATTTTTCCTGACCTCATTCTATACCCTACACACACTCTCTCTCTCTCTCTCTCTCTCTCTCACACACACACACACACACACACACTGTAATGCACATGCATGAACATGAGTAATGTAGTGTGATGGATGAAAAGCATTACTTGGCTCAAGTACAGGGCTGACTGAGTTTTATGGCAGTTAAATCAGTAACCAGTAGAGCAAAAACTCAGCTGTGAGCCTTCATTATTAGTGCTGCATGATAACTCTTGACATTGAAACATGCCTGCTACTGTAACATCCGAATTAAAACGATCCAGATGCAATCAGTTATCGAGCATTTCATTCACTTATGGTGGGAGGACAAAAGCAGTTAAAATGCTTTAGGTGTAACTAAAGCCCCTTTTATGCTGCCCATTTGATGGGGGAGCTTTCCGCCAGTTTTCCACCTCACCATTTTTTTTATAAAAGGTACATGGGGTCAAAGTTGACCTTCCAAAATGCTGCAACAAGAGGAAGCATTTTTGCCAAGACAAGTTCGTCCCACCTCCTGTATAAACGGGACAAGGTGGAATGGGGGGTGGGTTGGAGGGCTGTGTAAAAGAGTATGCCAGAGTGAATGAGCAGAGAGAGCAGCGTCAGCAAAAACAAAGTGAGTCGAAGAATTACAACTTTATTCTTTATTGTTTGACTGTGGTTACGTCCAAAGCCTGAATAAACACATCCATCCCTCTACACAACGCTGTGGGAAGGATTCTGTGTGCACTGTTCTGTCTGTTCTGCTGTGCAACTCGAGTGTGTTTAAACAGACACGCAGACCTGATAAGCCTCATGCCTCTAGTACTGGGATTCTGGCAGCTGTGTAAAATGAACACACGAGCAGCAGTTTGCATTCTGTGTAAAAGGAACTTATGTTCATCATTTAATCTCATGCCTTGAATGCTATCATTTGCTTTTTGTTTTGTTTTGCAAATGAATGATCCTCTTTTTGTGTGGGATTTCCTCTGTAAGTTAAGTTGTTATATAATACAATGTCTGTCTGTCCATAAAACTATCAAGTACAATTTGGCTGAAAAAAATGATTGATAGCAGTTTAATAAAGAAGCAAATGCAATTTTTATGTTCTGATGTTTTTTTTTTTTAACCAGTTTAAAATCTCTTGGTATATGAAATTAAACATGTATCTCAGTTTTCACACTGAAGTCATAAAAGTGAGTTAGCAATATTGCCACAGCAGCTCACCTTCAGCGAAGTGCCCACATCAGGTTCTGCGGCCTGACAGACACGTTGCTTTGGTTTTGTGTTTACACGTTTTCTGCGCTTCCTCAGAACCACATAAATTTGCACATAAACCAGCAGAGTGATGATGAAGGGAACATAGAAGGACACAATGGAAGAATATACCACAAAGGCTGGATTGGCGATCACACAGAGAGACTCATCACGAGTAGCTGTGGAAATAAGCAGAGGGAATAAAGGCCTGAGGTTGCATGGTATGCTCCGCCCCAAATTGTTTATGTGTTGTTTTGATGTGTTTTTATCTCTTGGAACATTTTCTACACTAGAACGCGGCACTACCTGCTACTAAGAATCAAGAGTTGCTCTTTGATTTTAATCTCTTCTTTTTCCAAAATGTTACCTCTCCTACGCCTCCCTCAGTCGGAGGTCTTTGA